GGCTGAGATCTGAGGATCGCAGTTCGAAGGAGAGACCGTGAGACTCCTATCTCCAATAAACCACCAGAAAACCAGAAGTGGTGCTGTGGGTCAAGTGGTAGAGTGCTCGCCTTGAGCTGAAGAGCTGAGGGACAGCGCCCTGAAAACTTAGATTCTCTTTACCTGCTCTGCATACCCCCCTTCAGAGCGCCCATGCCCAGGCCGCACACAACCTACCAGGACGCCCTCTTGCAACGCTCAGTCCCCGGATGTCCATCCTCCTCCAGCCCCACCCAGAGTAGAAACCTAGTACTAGATTTTCGTGCCTGGATTCTGTCCCTCCTACCTTCACGTCCCTACCACCTCCGTGTGTGACCCCAGTGGTGGCTGTCACCCCCGCCTGGCTGTTGGCACCCACACCCCACTGGGCTCTGTGCTTTACTTGCTCGGTTAATCCCTCGGCTCCCTCTTGCTTCTGGAGCCTTCTTTCCCGAGGGGTGGCACCACCACCACCACTCCCCCCCCCCCCCCCGGCATTCCAGCACCTTTCCAGCCCAACCTGCAGCCATCCCACAGACCCACCTGACTCATGTTCCAATGCCTCCTGGCCCCTGCCCGGGGACGGCCAGAAACTGCAGCCCGGATTCAAGGACCAACCGCTATTTGCTGGAAATGGATGGAATCCAGCACCAATCTGTCAATGGCAATATTGCAAGCTTCTGAAAGCCATTCATCGGGGACCAGGCCTCACTTCCCGAGCAGGCACGGCTCCAGTCAGTCCCGACTCTGTCAGCTGGTCCTTCCAAGGTGGGCACCATGTCTCGCTCAAAAACACCATCCTGAGGGCCAGCTCCACTTTGCTTTAGCAAGTGAGAACTTCACCCATGTGAGAGGCCTCTCGCCTCAGAACTGACTGGCCCAGCCATCCGTCCTCTGGGGTCAGAGCCTCCGGAGGACTCCTCAGACCCTGTGTCCATTGGCTCATCCTTTCCCTGACGCCCCAGCTACGTAGCAGGGTCTACCCAGAATCCTCAGTACCCAGCATGGGCAGGGCCTGGGGACCAGAGCAACCTGCGGGGACTGAGAAGGTGTGGCTCCACCCTGGCCCTGAGGAGACTGGACCCTAGGGGGCCAGGGACCCCGGAAGGCGCCTGACACCTGCAGCAACCGCATCCGCTGGTGGTCTTTAAGATTTATTCTTGTGAACCACAGCTGATGATATATAACTCGCAGACAGGTGTGTAAAATGTGTGCCTCCAATCTGAAGCATGGCCAAACGCACGCCTGCTGGCCCAGGAGTCCTGTCGCTGCCTCCCTTGCTTCCTTCTGTCTCGTTGACCTCGTAGCTCTCCATTCGACATTGCTCAGCTCTGAAACACTGAGTGGCGCACAGGTAACACAGGAAATGCCTCCAGAACAAAATACCACGTGAAAATGGAAGGGTCCACTGCTAGGCTGGCCTCACTTCCCTGTGAATCCATAGGGTCCTCTGGAGATAGCCTGCGCAAGGAAAAGCAGGGTTTGTCAGAGCAGGACATTTGCAGGCTCTGTTGCAGATCAGGTTGCGGGAGGTGTGATGGGTCTCGGTCTGTGACCCGCGGATTAGAGTCATGGGAAGCACAGCAGGTGTTCAGAAGCCAGGCACCTGAGAATTCCTGTCCTGATCGCCTGGTCATTCTGACTTGAGGGTTTATGAACAGAGCACAAAGGGATCCCTTCCCATCACTAGCCTATTAGAGGATCCCCTGCCCCTTTCTTCTACTACATTCTATACTGGATCTTGGACTCGCCTTCTTGATTTTCTTGCTTTGGTGGGGCAGAGATTTCCTATTAGTAAACTACACCCAGCTCCTACCTACACCGTTCATGTTTCTTTTTTCCAGTTGCCTTTCTGCTGCTGTCTACCTGTCTCTCTTCCTTTCTCCTGGGCTGACTGCTCATCTAAAGGCTGACAGGCACCCTAATAACTCTGGATCAGCACATCAGGCAGGCAGTCTAAAGAAACAAGGGCCTTCCTCTTGGGGGAAGAGCTACCTAGCTTCTCCTGGATCCTGGTGGCAGCATGGCCTCATGGCTGGCTGTAGGCAGCGGACCACAGGCAGAGGTAGCAGACTGGTATGGGTACCCGTCCCCTCTGTCCTAGACATCCTCGGAGCTCTGCCCCTCACCCACCAGCGAGTCCTCATTTCTCCTTCCCTAGCTGAGTTTCAGACCGGAGCCACAGTAAGGGTAAACATTTTATCTGCAGCCTGAGGCCTTCCTGCTGTTTGCTACAGCAGTTAGACTGATCTAACCAATGGACAGGCTACAGTTAGACTGATCTAGCCAATAAACAGGCTAAGTGCATTACAGGCAAACACATTAACAGGCAAACAGCCAGGGCCTGGAGCAAGAGGGATTGCAATTACTCTCTTGCCTGAAGCAACCAAACAAAATAAAGGATGGCATCCTAGGTACTGGAAAACAGATGACCAAGGACAGCAAACCACTTGATTCCAGTCACCTTACTCTCAGGATCCAGCTTAAAACTAAGCAAATAACGCTGATTCTCCCCAAAACTCTCCCTCACTGCCCCCCACCCTTGAAGGCCCCTGCAGGTCCCCCTCTGTCCAGCCCTGAGCTGCGGTGGCAGGGCTCTGTGCCACCCTGGCTCGCTAAGCATGGGGATCTGTAGCACCCTCCCTCCCCAGGCTCTGCCTCCAGAACACTGCTGGCCCGGACAGGCCAGCACTTCACTGGGAAGACGGCTCTGAGAGACACCAGGTACTGAGATCAAGCACTCAGAGTTGAGCAGGGGCTCCAGAGCACCACCATAGCTGCAGGTGGGGGCCGGCCACCTGTGAGGCCTCACCCTCCTGCCAGCTGGCTGCCTGCCTCAGCACGGGCTGTCTCCAGCACTACCAGCCAGGAGCGCTGTCCCCGGGCTGGCGTGGACAGGAAGGGGGTGTCCCCAGCATGGATGGGAAGGGGTGTCCCCGGGTGGAGGGAAGGGGTGTCCCCTGGCCCGGGTGGATGGGAAGGGGTGTCCCCGGGTGGATGGGAAGGGGTGTCCCCGGGTGGATGGGAAGGGGTGTCCCCGGGTGGAGGGAAGGGGTGTCCCCGGGTGGATGGGAAGGGGTGTCCCCGGGTGGATGGGAAGGGGTGTCCCTGGGCCCGGGTGGATGGGAAGGGGTGTCCCCGGGTGGAGGAAAGGGGTGTCCCCGGGTGGAGGGAAGGGGTGTCCCCGGGTGGATGGGAAGGGGTGTCCCTGGGCCCGGGTGGATGGGAAGGGGTGTCCCCGGGCCCGGGTGGATGGGAAGGGGTGTCCCCGGGTGGATGGGAAGGGGTGTCCCCGGGTGGAGGGAAGGGGTGTCCCCGGGCCCGGGTGGATGGGAAGGGGTGTCCCCGGGCCCGGGTGGATGGGAAGGGGTGTCCCCGGGTGGATGGGAAGGGGTGTCCCCGGGTGGATGGGAAGGGGTGTCCCCGGGTGGATGGGAAGGGGTGTCCCCAGGCCCGGGTGGAGGGAAGGGGTGTCCCCGGGTGGAGGGAAGGGGTGTCCCCGGGTGGATGGGAAGGGGTGTCCCCGGGCCCGGGTGGAGGGAAGGGGTGTCCCCGGGTGGAGGGAAGGGGTGTCCCCGGGCCCGGGTGGAGGGAAGGGGTGTCCCCGGGCCCGGGTGGAGGGAAGGGGTATCCCCGGGCCCGGGTGGAGGGAAGGGGTGTCCCCGGGCCCGGGTGGATGGGAAGGGGTGTCCCCGGGCCCGGGTGGATGGGAAGGGGTGTCCCCGGGCCCGGGTGGAGGGAAGGGGTGTCCCCGGGCCCGGGTGGATGGGAAGGGGTGTCCCCGGGCCCGGGTGGATGGGAAGGGGTGTCCCTGGGCCCGGGTGGAGGGAAGGGGTGTCCCCGGGTGGAGGGAAGGGGTGTCCCCGGGCCCGGGTGGAGGGAAGGGGTGTCCCCGGGTGGAGGGAAGGGGTGTCCCCGGGTGGAGGGAAGGGGTGTCCCCGGGCCCGGGTGGAGGGAAGGGGTGTCCCCGGGCCCGGGTGGAGGGAAGGGGTGTCCCCGGGCCCGGGTGGATGGGAAGGGGTGTCCCCGGGTGGAGGGAAGGGGTGTCCCCGGGTGGAGGGAAGGGGTGTCCCCGGGCCCGGGTGGAGGGAAGGGGTGTCCCCGGGTGGAGGGAAGGGGTGTCCCCGGGTGGAGGGAAGGGGTGTCCCCGGGCCCGGGTGGAGGGAAGGGGTGTCCCCGGGCCCGGGTGGAGGGAAGGGGTGTCCCCGGGTGGAGGGAAGGGGTGTCCCCGGGTGGAGGGAAGGGGTGTCCCCGGGCCCGGGTGGAGGGAAGGGGTGTCCCCGGGTGGAGGGAAGGGGTGTCCCCGGGTGGATGGGAAGGGGTGTCCCCGGGCCCGGGTGGAGGGAAGGGGTGTCCCCGGGCCCGGGTGGAGGGAAGGGGTGTCCCCGGGCCCGGGTGGAGGGAAGGGGTGTCCCCGGGCCCGGGTGGAGGGAAGGGGTGTCCCCGGGTGGAGGGAAGGGGTGTCCCCGGGTGGATGGGAAGGGGTGTCCCCGGGTGGATGGGAAGGGGTGTCCCCGGGCCGGCGTGGACGGGGCCGTCCCCACCAAGGTCCAGCGCAGGCCCCAGCTCCGGAACTTTCACTGCTCAGAGGACGAGGGTCAGATCGCGTCCTTCCGCCCGCCACGGGCCGCCGCCGCGGAAGCACCCCGCCCCGAGGCCCCGGAAGTTGCTATGGAAACGCCCGAGCGCCTCCGGGGCCGCCGGGTCCCGCCGCGCCGCCCGACCGCGCTCCCAGGAGGCAGCGCGGCCTGGGGAAGCCGGCGGAGCTGGAGGCGGGGCCTGTGGAGGGCCTGGGGGCGGGGCCCTGACGCGCTTTGTGGGTGGAGCCTGGGCGGACAGGCACGTGGGCGGGGTCCGGGGCGGGCCTATGGAGGGGTCTAGGCTCGCTTTGCGGGCGGAGATTCGGGCGGGAAGGGGCGGGGCCCGTGGGCGGGCCCGGCGGTGGGCGGGGTGTGGGTGGGGCCGAGCGGACTTGACGGGCCAGGGCCGCGCGGGCGGGGTCTCCGCGCTCCGGGAAGATGGCGCCGTGGGGGCTGCGGTCCTCCGGGCTGCGCGGGCTCCGGCCGTCCCTGCTGCCGCCGCCGCCGCTGCTGCTGCTGCTGCTGCTGCTGCTGCCGCTGCTGCTCGTGCCCCAGCCCGCGGCCAGCCATGGCGGCAAGTACTCGCGGGAGAAGAACGAGCCCCAGCGCGAGCCCGGGGAGGAGTTCCGCATGGAGAAGATGAACCAGCTGTGGGAGAAGGCCCGGCGGGTGAGCGGGGCCGGGGCGCGCGGGCAGGGACCGGGGACCGGGGCGAGCGGGGACCGGGATCGGGGACCGGGGCGAACGGGGATCGGGGCGAGCGGGGACCGGGATCGGGGACCGGGGCGAGCGGGGATCGGGGCGATCGGGGACCAGGGCGAACGGGGACCGGCGACCGGGTGAGCGGGCATCAAGTCAGTGAGGATCAGGTGCACGGAGATCTAGTGAGGTGTGCGGGAGCGAAGACGGCGGGGATGGGGCGGGAGAGGGGTTAGAAGGGGGGGGTCGGGGGGGGGAGCTGCTGGCTGAGGCCAAGCCCGGGGATCTGCGGGCGCGCAGGGGAGGGCGATCTCGGGGGGATCCTAAGTTGGAGGGGGCCGGCCCTAGGACCCCGGGACCCCGGGCAAAGTGGGGCCCAGCCACGTCCAGGGACGCAGAAGCCCCAAGCTGCCGCCCAGGTTAACAGGGAGCAGAATGTGCTGGGTGGGTGCGGGGACACCACGGCAAATCACCAGCCCTGGGAATGCGGACAATGTAATCTGTCCATCTTCCTTTTGGAGATAAGGCCTCAGATCCTGGAGCAAAGGGCATCCCCAAAGTCAGCCAGTGGGGCGGCTCTGGACCTCATCCCTCCCGGTGTCCTGGAGCCCGGGCCCTGCTATCTCATTTGTGAAGCGTGGGCTCCTGTTTGGGAAACTGGGATTTAGGCCGCGGGACCCCACCTGTCTTTATCTCAGGAATGTCTGTAGTCTGATTAGAGCCCCTTGGAAGCTCTCCGGTTTCACAAGGTTCCTAAGCTTAAACCTTCCAGAGTTTCCAGGGACAGTAAATAATTTGCAAAGTACAGTTAATGGGAGACTTTGGCCCTGGAGGAAGAGGAGCACAGGACAGTTAGGAAGCTGGCTTCTCAGACATGCTGGGAGGGGAGTGGTGTCCAGTTAGATGTCCACAGGCCCTTCCAAGGGCCCAGCCTCCTGAGACCCAGCATATAGAAGCCAGCCTGCAGAGGCAGAGGGGGCCTGCGGACCCGAGAGGCCTCGAGGCTTCTGGAGGAAGGGAAGCGCACAGCTGGAAGTCTTGGAGCCACTAGGCCCAGAATGACCTGGAGGGGCTGGAGCACGCTGGCCGACACGCTCCCGTGCCTGCTGTGACGGGCGCACTAAGACAGCTGCTGACGAACGATGAAGATTCGGGGACCAGGAAGACACCAAGCTGCTGGAAGCTGTGCTGGGGAAATGTGCTCGGGCTCCCTTTGCTTCAGGGAGCCAGCCCTAAGCTCTCCACTCACTCACCCAGGTGTGGTTTCCCCCACTCTTCATCCAGGCCGCACCTCTGTGCAGCAGAGCAGGAGCTCTGGGCCACTCCTCCCCCATCCTCACCCACCCACAGCTATAATCTCTTAGACCTCCCCAATGGTCTTCACGGCTTGGCTCCTACTGATGTGAATCATCATCTCATGGGCATGGCCCATTGGCCGCTCTGGGTGGAGGCTGCTCTCCGGGCAGGGACTGGCCCCAGGCAGGTGGACCCCTAGAAGCCAACACGCTCTGTCTTCCTGACCTTCCTTCACCAGCCAGGAAGATCCTCTCCTTTCTGTAATTTGTTGGAGGAAAACGTTAAGTATTTCTTTATCTTCTCAACACAAAGTTATAATATTACCTAGTGTGTTACGCACTGCCCACCTCCTCTGGGGGCCCTGTGAGGGGGAGGGGAGGAGCGGAGGACTCTGGAAGGCCTCGAAGGTAGTTCCATCTTGGAGGCTGGGTCAGGGAGCCACGCTTCACCCCATCCAGACTCTAACCTGGACTTCCCCCTTCATGGTTGAGCAGTGAGACACCCTGGAGACTGCTTTGTGACATCCAGGGTGGGTAAAGTGCAGGACTCTGAGCCTCGGGAGGGGAGTTTGTGGAAGTGCATCCGGGCCTCCACCCCCAGCAGCCCCGGGGCAGATCTAGGGTGGTGGCGCTGCCAGCTCTCAACGCACCGGGCAGAGCTGGAGAATTAGCCTTCACCTCCCCCAGCGCTGCCCTGCTGGGCCTCTGCACCCTGGGCGCCAGAGGGGATGCCCTCCTGGCATTGCAGCCCCGCAGCTGAGGTCACCCCAAAGCAGCTGGGAGTCGGAGTCCCAGATGTCATCACAAACACTGAATAGGTAGGCATGGCTGCAGGTTGTAAGCAAGGGGCCCGGGCGACTTGGTGGCCTTTAAAGCAGACTGCGATCTTGTTCCCTCCTGGGACAGCACAGCTGGGAGGAGGCCACGGTCACCCGGGGATCTGGGGATCTCGGGTTCTCAGGAAGTGCTGCAGGTAGCAGCCAGGACACCTGGAGCCCACTGTGGAGGGTGGGGGTGGGGTGGGGAAAGCCACAGGCCTCAGGCTGGCTTTGAAAGGAGCCTCTAGTCCCAGAGCCTTTAACGCATATGTGTCCTAAAGCAAGTGTGCTGCACAGCTTCCCCACCCCGCTGGTGGCCACTGGTGGCCCCAGGGACCCAGGGGTGGCGGGGACATGTCCTGGTCCACACTGACCTCACAGCTCTGCTCTGCACAGAGGAGCTGGCCACACAGACCTGGAACCCAGAGGTCACCAGGCCAGGCTTCCTTCCCAACCAGGGCCACTGTGATGTGGGAACCTTCATTAAACCAGCTCTAAAAGCCCAGATGTGGACTGGGTGCAGTGACTCGCCTGTAATCCCAGCTACTCAGGAGATGGAGACTGGGGGGATCAAGGTTCTGTGCCAGCCAGGGCAAAAGTTAGAAGACCCTCTCTCCACCAGTCAGCTGAGCGGATGGAGCGCGCTGTCCTTCCTCCAGCCTGCTGTACAGGAAGCTGTCGGGATGGAGCTTGACCAAAGCCAGCCCCTGTCTCGAAAGGCTAAAGCAACGCTGGGCGCTGGTGGCTCACGCCTGACAATCCTAGCTACTCAGGAGGCTCAGATCTGAGGATCAAGTTTCAAAGCCAACCTGGGCAGGAAAGTCCATGAGACTCTCATCTCAGATAACCTTCAGAAAACCAGAAATGGCACTGAAGCAAAAAGAGATGTCAGTATGGTGCTCAAGTGGTAGAGCTCCTGCCTAGCAAGCATGAGGCCCTGAGTTCAAACCAAAAAGAACTGTGGAAGTGGTGTGTTGAATAATCCCTCAACTTCTCCCTCTGTGCCATGGTCTAGGGGGAGTCAGGCTGGGAGGGAAGTGTGCAGATAAATGGGGGCGGGGGTCAGCTCCAGAGGATTTGGAGCCCCTTTCTGAAGCATCTGGGTTGTTGAGAGCACAGTGAACTCCAGGGTAGAGCGAAAGGCGCTTGGAAATGGAGCCTCCAGATTCCAGGCTTTTAGGGGCTCCGGCAGCCCCTACTCTGTTTCTTCTCCCAGGCCGAGCTCGTGACTAACCATCAGGCCTCTGGGGCTAGTGCCCTAGGTCTCTTCTGCTTGGTTTTGAGGTTTAAGACCATATTTGGAAGGTTGGGCGTGGCTTAGTGGCAGAGCCTGTGCATAGATGTTCAAGGCCCTGGGTTCTGTCCTGGTACTGCAAAAAAAGAAAGACTTGGATAGGAAGTTTCCTATTCTCTGTAGTTATTTTATTGTGTGTTATTCTCATACTTACATAACCTAGAGAAATGGGCTCTGTGTCTTCTAGCCAAGCCATCCTTATACCTCTGCGTTTACCCACCTGCTTACTTAGTGAATGTCGCCAGGGGTCAGCCTGGGAAAGGTGGGGTGCCCTGCTACGGGAGCCCCAGCTTCAGACAGCCATCCGTGGCTTCCTGACAGACTTGGAATGGCCGGATCTCACCGTCAGCTTTGTCTTGATCTGAGCTCCGTGGGGAAGCTGGCCAGCCAGCCTGCCACGCTGGTCCTGGGCTGTGGGTGGCCTGAGTCCTGCTGTCGCCAGCCCTCCCCGGCAGCCCTCCCCCGGGTCAGCCCAGAGCCCCGCTTGTCCGCCTGTTCACTGGGCGCTGTCTCCTCTGCAGCTTCAGCTCTCTCCTGTGAAACTGGCTGAGCTCCACGCTGACCTGAAGATACAAGAAAGAGACGAACTCAACTGGAAGAAACTGAAGGTGGAAGGCTTAGACGAGGATGGGGAGAAAGAGGCAAAGCTCATCCACAACCTCAATGGTACTCTCCTTACCGCGGAGGAGGCTGCCGCCAGCCTCAGTGGCGCTGGTTCTTATTTACGAATAGGAGACCCGGAGCAGGGAGGGGTCACCTGGCCGGGGTGGCTGACCTCTGAGCACAGATGCCTGTGGCTCACCTCTCAATCCCTGTGCTGTTTCCTGAATGCCATTGGCAAAAACCACAGGGAGGGGCTGGGAAGGTGGCTCAGTGGTTGAGCGCTTGCCTTGCATGCCTGAGGCCCTGGGTTCGATTCCTCAGCACCACATAAGCAAAAGGAAAAAAGCCAGAAGTGGTGCTGTGGCTCAAGTGGTAGAGCGCTAGCCTTGAGCTGAAGAGCTGAGGGACAGCGCCCAGGCCCAGAGTTCAGGCCCCACGACTGGATCCAAAAATAAAAATAAAAAAAAACCCACAGGGAGAGCGGGGCCAGGGCTCTGCTACGCTGGCGTCCGAAGGCCGTGGGGCTGCAGGATGCTGTTAGAGGAAGAGGCGGGGGGGGGGGGGAGGGGGATGCCCAGGGTCCGGAAGCTGCAGGGGACAGACTGAGAGCTGGTGAACTTGCTGCAGCCATGCTGACCAGGCTGAGCTCCCAGTCGCCTTGGACACTGACGATGGACAGCTGGTCTGCTGCCCCGTGGAGCACGTGAACGCACTGCGTCCACAGGGCTGGGTTCTCTGTGTATGTGCAGCACTGGGATTGAACCCGTGCCTTGTGGCACGCATCTACCATGTGAGCTATTCCAAACCCCAGCACCAAATGGGAGCTGTGGCATGTGTTTTGAAAACACACGTGACAGGCCTGTAGAGACCATGGTTGTTGGCTGGCCCGAGAGCTCCCGTGAGCTCTGGCGATAGAGGAAAGCCCTGAGCCGTTGTAAGGTTGGGGATCCACAGAGCCCCCGAGTTGGGTATACCCAGACCTTGTGTGGTCACTCGGGACATTGGGGGTAGAAGGAAATTGCCAGAACGTGTGAGGCAGACCTGTCGCCCCCACGGGAAGGAAGCCACATTCAGTGCGGCCCTCCCTCTCCAGTGATCCTGGCCAGGTACGGGCTGGACGGGAGGAAGGATGCCCAGATGGTGCACAGCAACTCCATCAGTGACGCGACCCAGGAGGACGGGCTGGGCGACCCGAGGCTGGAGAAGCTGTGGCACAAGGTACCCGCGAGCCCCGCAGAGCTCTGCCATGCGCAGAGTTCGGGGAGGGGGGCTGGGGGGGCGGGGAAGGAGGGGGGCTGCTGCCACGGGAGGCTGTCAGCCCCTCCCCGCCCCGCTGGGTTCTGCGTGCAACCCGACAGTGCTCTTCTGGGACCTTTTTCTCCTTCCCATAAAGCCTGTGCCTTCCTCCTTGGGAAATTCCTCCTTTCTCCACAAAGGGCTTGTAATCAGCTTACAGCTGGCAGAACTTGAGAAATTAAGACTGTCCCTGGCTGTATGTGGTTCAACGGCACAGGGTCTTCAGGTGGTACGGCTGGATTCTTCCCTAGATTCCCAGTTTCGGCCTCTGTGCTTAGAAAAGGCAACCCAGATGGGTGTGCAGGTGCTGGGGGCCGGGGGGGTGGGGAGCTGATTCTGCTCTTCGAGTGGATTGTGAGGGCAGAGTGGAGGCCAGCGCGGGGTGGTGTCCGTGGTGTGGGTGGCCCATGCAGCTCGCTGTATCTGCCCACTCCAATCAGACAACCTAGGGAAGGGTTCCCAGGCCAAGAGCAGACCTAAGCGGCCAGCGGCCAGCCCTGCACAGCAGTCAGCTGACTGCCCCCCCCCCCCCCACGCACTGATGACAGGACCTATTTCTCTTAGGCAAAGACCTCGGGGAAATTCTCCAGCGAAGAACTGGACAAGCTATGGCGGGAGTTTCTGCACCACAAGGAGAAGGTTCACGAGTACAATGTGCTGCTGGAGACCCTGAGCAGAGCAGAAGGTGAGCTGTGCCCTGTGCCCAGCTGGCTCCGCCCCCATACCCAATTGGCTCTGCCCCATTCCCAGCTGGCCCCGCCCCCTGCCCAGCTGACTCCACCCCCAAGCCCAGCTGGCTCCGCCCCCGTGCCCAGCCCGCCCCACCCGTGGGCCTTGCCAGATCCCAGTGCTCCTTGCATGGCTGGCTGGGGCGAGGCACCCTGGCCTGCCGTGCCGGGTTTCTGCCCAGGTTCAGTGTTGGAGACTGCACACGTAGAGCTGTCCGGTGTGAGGTGCCAGGGGCGCAGGGGCGCAGTCTGGCCATCACCAGCCATGCCCCCTAGCACAGAGGGTTTGATCAATGTGACCTCCCCCACACAGCACCCTGAGGAGGCCACGGCCGGCTGGAGGCCTTCGAGTGCGCCTGTGGGTATGGGGTGCACTGACGTCCGCCCTGACAGTCCCCTCGGGGCGGGCGTGTTCCCGCCTCGTGTCTACAAGGGCTGACAGGGTCTGTCATTCAGCGATGCTGACGCTGCGGGGCGTGCCCAGCACCGCAGTCCGCAGGGTGCCCAAGTGTGTGGGGGGCGCTGCTCACGGAGCATTCCACTGCCACTCCCAGAGAGCCACGAGAACGTCATCAGCCCTTCGGATCTGGGCCACGTCAAGAAGGAGGTGTACAGCAAGCACAGCGAGCTGAAGGACAAGCTCCGGAGCATCAACCAGGGCCTGGACCGCCTCCGGAGGGTCAGCCACCAGGGCTACAGCCCCACGGCGGGTAAGCTCCGCCCCGTGCTGCCCATGCCTGCGCCGCCTGCACGCATGGGTGGAGCCCTGGCCGGTTTTGGTGGGCTGACAAGTCCTCTTTCTCCTCTTCCTCCCTCTTATCCTCAACTTCCCCCTCTTCCTCCTCCTCCTCCTCCCCGCCTCCTCCCCTCCTCCTGCCCCTCTTCCTCCTCCTCCTCCTCCCCCTCCTCCTGCCCCTCCTCCTCCTCCTTCCAGACAGTATCTCTCAGGCCGTAGATGTGGCGCCTCTCTCCACAGTGAGCTCTCTCTCCTCGTGGGCCTGGGCTCACGCCACCTGCTATGGAAGCAGCACCCCTCCCGTGCTGGGGGGAGGGGGAGGGTCGGACACCGTCAGCCACGTCCCCTCGAGACCCCTCTCCCAGGCAGCTGCAGTGAGGGGTGCCTGGGCCTTGCGCTGCCCCTGGCAGCCAGAAAGGTCGAGGGGGGGAGGAGCAAAGGTGGAGATGTGGGGGCCTGTGCCAGGTTCTCTGCGTCTGTCCATGCGCTGGGCAGGAGCGGAGGAGCTGGTCTGTGTGCAGCCCCGCCCTGGGCCTGTGGCCTGGACAGCCCCGGCCAAGTGCAGCGGCTGGGCGCGCACAGGCCCTGGCACCCGGCAGCCCACACCTGCCTCGGCGGCGGGGCGCGCCGACGGGCGCAGGCACAGGCGGGCAGACAAGTCAGGGCCCAGAGGCCGCCTCTCTGGGCCGGGAAGACTGCTGAGGCACAGGTCAGCCGGTCCGGTGTGCGCCGCACGGGTGCCGGAGCCCTTCAGACCTGCCTGCACACTCAGGCCCGCTCACGCCCTCCGCGCACACCCACACACGTCCCTGTGGCACTCGCACACACTTTCCCTTGGGCTGGGCAAGGACCGAGGCGTGCCCACCCAGACAGGTGCCCTGCTCTCCTGCAGAGTTCGAGGAGCCCCGAGTGATCGATCTGTGGGACCTGGCCCAGTCCGCCAACTTCACCGAGAAGGAGCTGGAATCATTCCGGGTAAGCCAGCGCGAGATGGTGCTGCCGGCTCCTGACGCCGGCCCTCCTGCCCACTCTCCTGCCCCCGGCGGTCTGAGGCCACTGGCTTTTCCCTGACCCTTCTCCTTCATGCCTCCACCCGCATCCCATCCTCTGTGGTGGGTGTGCCGGTAAGCACAGCCACAGCCCCCCTCCCAGGCCCCCAACGGCCCACACGCAGTGTCACCCACAGGCAGCACCCAGCTCCAGGCTCCCACACGTTTGGGGGCCGTGAGAGGCGGGGCCGTGTCCTGATGGGGTCTGTGAGCATGTGCCACACGGCCAGACGCTGGCAGCCACTGTGGCGTCAGGGCCCGAGGTCTCCAGGAGGCCCTGGGGGTGTTGACTGCCGAATGTGTGCCCCAGACAGCGGCAGGGCGGGCAGGCGGGGCCCGCAGCTCCTGCTGCGCTCCCGGTGGGCACTGCCCAGGTGAGAGGTGCCGGCAGGGGAGTGGCAGCAGCAGGAGCCCCGCGAGCCCAGCTGCTGCCCTTGGTCCTTGCAGATACGCTGGGCTCACCGGGGGGCCCCAGGCTCAGGGTCCTCGCTGTAGATGTGGGAGGGAGGGCTGAGAGGATGGAGGGAAAGCCCCAGAACTGCTGTGCAGAGGTGGATGGCAGAGCCCAGGAGGGCCTAGGCAGTGGAAGGAGGAGGGCAGGGGACTCCAGGAGACTCAGTCCACCTGGGGCTGCCAGCCCAGATAGGTGGGGGCTGCAGAGGGGAAGGCAAGGCCTGGCCCCAGGGCACCTCGGTAAAGCCAGAGCCCCAGGCAGCAAGACCAGGAAAAGACCCGATGCCCAGCAGGCTGGGGTGCCGTTGCCAGAGACGGTGCATCTGGGCACAAGAGTGACAGCCCCAGCAGGTCAGGGTGACGAGGAGGAAGCCGGGGGCTGCGAACCAGCGGCTGGGCGGCACAGCGTCCCCGGCGTCCGTGGGAGCCCCTCCGTGTCACGGCGCCCAGTGGTCGTCCCCCCCACTCTGCAGCGAGCCGCCCAGCCCATAGCCGGTGCCCGCGGAGGGGCTGGGGGCCAGGTCAGCTTGCTCTACCCCTGGAGGAAGCGAAGCTGTGACACTGTGACTCTAGGAGGAGCTTAAGCACTTTGAAGCCAAAATCGAGAAGCACAACCACTACCAGAAGCAGCTGGAGATTTCCCACGAGAAACTGAGGCACGTGGAGGGCATCGGTGACCAGGAGCACATCAACCGCAACAAGGAGAAGTACGCGCTGCTGGAGGGGAGGACCAAGGAGCTGGGCTACAAGGTGGGTGTGCTGTGTGGCCCCGGGCCCTGGGCCGTGGCTCACAGAGGGACCCGTGTGTGGAAAGCAGCTGTCCCCCATGGCCGCTGTCCCCTGCTGGCCCCAGCCAGAGACCCCGTGGACATGCAGGACCAGAGGCTGGAGACAGACAGGGCCTGGGGCCCAGGGTGCGCCTAGGAGAGAGGCCTTCCCCAGGGTCCTGGCCCCGAAGGCAGACACGGGGTTCAGGAGAGTCCCGGAGCAGGGCTGGTACCCCACGAGTAGGTGCCCCCCAGGCGCCCCAGCCCAGGGCCTTCTCCCATTCATACCAGGGAAGCGTTGATTTTTCAGAATGACCGGCAAGCTGGGTGTTAGTTTCTGTCCTTTGTTTTTGTGAACCTGGAGCCTTGCACTTGCAAAGCAGGTGCTGATTTCTAGCTCGCTAGCTTCTTCCTCGGCTTCGGCGCTTTGATCGTGTTTTGTGCACGGTCTTGCTCCCTGCTGGGGCCCAGCCTGCACATGATCTTCCCACTCCCCTTTCCCGTGCCACTGGGGTGACCGGCGTGGCCCACCTCCCGCAGCTGCTCAGGGACTGAGATGGTGCCGATGAATTGGTTTGCCCTGGCTGGGCTGACTAGACCTCCCTGTCTCTGCCCCAAGAAGCTGCTGCTCACGCGAGAGCCACGCCGCCGGCCTCGCTGGGTTTGTTTTACACGTTGCTTGGTGGTGGGTTTTGAGTTGAGGCTGGGCGTCTTTTACCGCGCAGCTGTGGCGGGTTCTGTGCAGGTGTGTGTTCAGCGCAGTGCCTGTTTTCAGCCGTCCCGTCCCATCCAGTAATCTCACCACAGTGCCCACTGACCAGTGTCCCCGTCCACAGGTGAAGAAGCATCTGCAGGACCTGTCCAGCCGGGTCTCGAGGGCACGGCACAATGAGCTCTGAGGACCGGAGCTGCCACTCAGGAGGCCCAGTGAGACTCTCAAGCACTGCCAGGGATGCACCGGCGTCTGCGGGGATGACGGCCAGGCCGCGCCCTCACCACGGCAGAGAACAGTTCTCCCCACACCCATCGAAGCATGTCTCGGACCGTGCCCCGGTCCGGCCTCCGGCTGGTGGAACTTCCTTGTTCTCCAACCTGGATGGAGCGCAGTGCCAATGAGACAGGACGGTCCCCCACACGCCATCCCCACGCTCTGCCACTGGAGACGTTACTTAAAGATGTCCTTAAAGTACAGTGCCGTGTTCCAACCTTCTGCTGATGCCTGGTCTAGAGCAGCCCCACGGGGAGGTAAACCAGAAGGAAGGAGCCGGGTTGCTTCTCATCCTCTCCTTCTGGCCCCTTGCCCCAGGTCCCTGCCCTTGGCCCCCCTCCCTCCTCAGTGGTCTGGCCATTAGGAGGTGAAATGTGGGACAGAGATAGTAGCAAAAAGCCCACGATCTTCATGGAGAGCGGAGCTATAACGGCACCGCAGCCCTGCCTGCAGCTCCAGGGCCTCCAGAGACCCTAATAGGCTCATATGCAGCACCAGTGCTCCATCCCCGAGGAGGGGAAGCAACCAAGTCCTCTGCTGGCACCAGACCCTGGCCTGGCCTCGCACAGGTTGGGAGCTGGAGCTGAGAAGAGGCTCGCTGGATCGCCGGATCGCAGCTCAGAGGTTGAGATCTGCCACACAGGATTATCCACCTGGCCCTGATGTGGAAGAGCCTTGAGGCTGAGGCATGCTGACACCCGTGGGATGGGCACCCATGCAGCACGGCTGCGCGGGGTCCCAGGTAGGGGAGCACAGGGGCGCACGCGTGCAGGGTCGCGGGTGGGGCGCACACAGGCTCCCATGCAGTACCGTAGTGCCTGCTCATCTCCAGTCTGCTGCCACTGGGAGGGCTGCAGCTGCCCGGAGACCCGCAGTGTCTGAGCCCAGCGACAGGCCCCTCTGCCAGGGTCTCCACACTGGACTTGAGGCTCACAGTCTAAGGGCCAAGCTGAGACCCAGCCCAGAACAAGAAACAGGCAGGGAAGCCCAGGCTCAAAGCCGTATCAGCTGCCTCCAACCCCCAGGGGCCCAACGCACAGACCTCCTGAAGCCTTATGGGCTCACTGGGGACAGGGCCAAGGCAAGAGGATGCTACCAGCTCCTGCTGAGGTCCTGGGAGAGGCCCCTGGCCCGAGGGCCTGGGGCATAGCAGGGAGCCCTTTACTCCAGAATGCCCATCTTCTCTGGGTCAGGGAGACTCCACCTCCCCCCCCCCCCCCCCCCCAGGCCTCAGGATCCTCAGGGAGCTGCTATGAGGAAGTCCTGACCTGGACCCCTGAGGGAGTCCACATACCCACACACACCACCCAACACACTGAATCCTGGGCCAGGAGCCACACAAAACCTCACACCTTCATGAAAACAATATGCATTGCCAAACATAGTGTTGCCTGATGGGTCCCAGGAGCGGCAGCAGTCAGCTAAGTCCGGCACCGACATGGGGCCGGCCTGTCCCAGCTGCTGGGCACTGTGGCCAGGGTTGGCACTACCAGAGTGGCATGGCCCGGGCAGTGGCAGCCCAGCCGAGCACAGCAGTGGAGGCCACTGGCAGGCAGGCTGGTGGGGGCACAGGTCCTTCTGCCATGGGTACTGTGCTTCCCGGGGCCCGGAGACGTTCCTGCCAGGACAGGGATGTGGTCTGGTCACCTGCAGCACAGGTGAGCAGCTGCTCGTGCGCATGCTTGGAGATGCTGTGTTGGGTGGCAGGAGTTGCCTGGCCTCAAGAAGATCTTGTCCAAGCCAAAGGAGGCTCGGCCCTGGGCGCCCGTGCGGTGGGTTGAGCCGGTGTGGGCGCACAGCCTTCCGCCTGCTCTCCCCGGGCCACGGGAGCGGCTGCACGCGCCCCTATGGCGGGCCAGTTCCGTCCTGTGCCGGGGCCTCACGGCAGGGCTGCCTTCCCGCGCTGCACCAGTTCAGACAGCCGCTCCTCCCGAGTCCGCGCGTGCCGGGCCCCCACGCGGTGTGCCGTCTCCGTGGCCACAATGTCGATCTGGGCGTACCGGGAGGCACCGGCCCCTGCAGGAAGGCCAAGGCCGGGGTGAGCAGAGCCCCAGCTACCCACACACACCTCCCTTGGCACCGGTCAGAAACGAACACCTGGCCTGCAGCCTAAGGGGCCTGCATGAGGCTGGGCCAGGCTGGTAGGAAAGGCTACAGCGGGGCCAGATGTGCCCTGGTCGAGGTCCCAAAGGCATGCGTGAGGTCCCTGCAGAACCTACCTCGCACGCTGGGGCCGGCAGCCGGGAGCTCCAGTCCCATGTAGTGCAGCCGCTGCCGGGAGGTGGGGCTCGCTGGGAGGTTCACGTAGGTGCGCGTCTCCCCACGTGCTCTCTCGGGCCCTGGGCTGTCAGCTGTGGGGGCCGGGGAATCTGTGGGAGGGAGGGGCTCTGAGCCCCTGCGGGCCCGGGGGTTTGCCCCGCCGAGAGCTGCCCACCCCCTCTCCCGCCCCCACCTCACCCAGCCTTGCAGCTCCCCTGCTCTCCATTTTTCTGGATCCGCGTCCAGCTTTGGCCCAGCACGAGCCCCAGGGCCGGCCGGCCTGTCCTCTGACCCCTGCTGTGTCCTGGCCATCCCTCCTCAGCTCACCCACCCCTCCCCTGGCCAAAGCCCCCGCCCTCCGTGTGCGTAACGCCCCCTTGTCCGTGGGCTGCCTGCATGGACCGGCTCCTCACCCCAGGCCCCAGGCCCGCAGAAAGGTTTCTCCAGTACCCCCTCACGGCTCTGTCCCCGGCCCCGGGGGAGGAGCTGCCAAGGGCATCCCCTGCTCCTCTGTGTCGTGGGAGGCCGTGGGGCTCTCATGGGAGGCGGCACAGACGGGCACCCAGCTCCTGTGCGGCTGACCGCTGGCCACCTGGAGGCGCTTGAGCTATGAGCTTCCGCCTACTCCAACGCCCGGAGGTGCTTGAGCTAGGATGGCTTCCACCTACTCCAACGTCTGGAAGCGCTTGAGCTACGATCGCTTTCACTTACTCCAAAGACAGCTCTGAGGTGACAGTGCATTACCAGGCCCAGCCGCCCACTTGACACGGGCTAAGCACGCTCCAGGCTGCAGAGCCGAGGGAGACCCGCAGGCCAGGGGGAGGTGCCCCCCCTGGCTCTGTACAGCGGTGGGCAGGGGGCTTCATCACAGCCTGGATGGTGCAAAGACCCGAAGACCCCTGCCCCTTCGGGCGGATCTCCACCGGGGGAGTAAAGGGGTCCAGGGCCAAGGCAGGGTGGGGGTGTTGAAGGGGAAGGGGATGCTCTGCGCCCTGCTTCCTGTGGAGCTAGGGCCCTGGGTTCCTGTGTCCTCCTTTCAGGCGGTGAGAGGTGCTGTGTTAGCCCCACCCAACCCCTTCCTGCCCCGCCTCTCCCTGCTCACCCCCCGCCACTCGCATCTGCTGCCCACTGCCCTTGCCCGGCAGGATCTGACCTTCAAGCTGGGCTGCACATACCTGACCCCCACTCCCCCCACCCCTACGATGGGCGCAGGGTCCCAGGGCCAGGAGCCTACCTGGACTCAGCATGGGGAGTCCCTGGGGTGAGGCAGCAGCTCCCTAAATCAAAGAGAACAGGGTCAGTGCCTGCCCAGCATCCCCTACATTCTGCCCTCCTGGCCCAGGTCTGGGAGGCCTGGGCCCGCAGCAGGGGAGGCCGGTCCTGGAGCCCACTCAGTATCTTGTGGACCCTTTGTTCCACAGCCCCTCCAGCCTGCTATCGCCGGACAGCACAGCGGCTCTGCGCGGCAGCCGAGAGAGCTGGAGGCCTTGGACACTGTGGACAGGAACTCTGAGCCCGTGGGAAACCTAGGGCCCCATCCCCCAAAACCTAACCCCTCCTCATGGTGCCTGTGATCTATTTTAGAATTCAGTGCTCTGTGGCCTCGGGGCCCTGGCCCACGCTCTAAGTCTCTGGCCGCCAGCTGGGGTGGCCGCAGATGAGGCACACAGCCTCTCGTGCACAGGGTGCACATGACAGAATCTGGGAGCGCACAGGGCAGGCAGGAGGGGGCCCACGGCAAGGCGGTCACCGTCACAGGTGAGCCAGCGAGGGCTGCTGGTACCCCAAGCCCCCCAGAAAGGCTCCCCCCTTTGGCAGGTAAGGAGCCCCAGCACCAGGGAGGCAGCGGCCTGGCTGCAATCCCTCACGGGGTGGAGGGAGCTGGAAGGAGATTTGCATGCAACACCGGTCCAGGCCGTACTTGAGGACAGATGTCCATAGTGGGTCTAGCCACAGGCACGAGGCCGTGGGCCTTGAATGGCAGCCTCCAGGATGATACGGGCCCCACACCACACGCCCAGGTTCTGCTGGGGCTCAGGGGTGTACCGCGGGAGGAAGCGAGCCCATCCTTGGGGCCCGAACCAGGCTGGACCCACACGCGCTGCGTGTTCGGGGCCTGGGCTGCTGCCGGGAGACGGTGGGCGCCCTCGGGACAGCCAGGGCTGAGGCTCTCCCGTGGAAACAGCGCCCAGGAAAAGGCCACTCCACCCTCCTTGGAGTGAGCATGTCTCCACCTTGTCCAGCCCTCCCCCACCCCACCCTAGTCCAGCTCCTCTATCCAGGCCAGGCCAGTGAGGGCTGAGACCAGGGTCCCCGCAACCTGGCTCCAGCCTTGCCCTCCCTCTCCCCCTCTCCCCTCCCTCCCCCCCTCTCCCCTCTCCCCAGTGCCCTCTGCCTGTCTCAGGGGGTGGGCCTGTGTCTCATGGGAGGTGAGAGTGGGTATGGCGGGGAAGGCCGTGCCAGGCTGAGGCCAGGGCCAGCAGGCCGCCCCCAGATCCCCGCGCCCGGAGCTACAGCCCTTCCTCTGGTGGGAAAGTGGGCAGAGGCCCCCAGACCCTCCTGTTGGCCTACAGCTGTGGGACACAGGTGCCGCATCAGACCCTCCATGTAGCCCCAGTGGTGGAGACGGCTCCCCATCGACAGAAGAGGAAACTGAGGCTCAGAGAGGTGTGATGACTTGCAGGGCCTCCCAGCCAGCGGGTGGTGGGTGTGGCCAAGCGCAACCCCCAAGCCCTGTCCTTCCCCAGGGGACAGAACTGCAGTAGCCCGGGGGCCAGTTCCCAGCAGGGCAGCGGGCAGGGCTATCTGGGCCCTGGGGCTGGGCCTCCCGGGAGAACAGAACAGGTCCGAACCACGAGAGTGCCCACCCTAGCCTGGACACAGGTGCCCCAGGCCCGAACCCGAGGGTCCCCTAAAGGCTTCAATCCCGCGGCCAGCGAATCAC